CGAAAAACAAGTATGCTTGCTGCTACCATATTCAGGAGCCATTCATTTCGACCCTTCTTGATAGGTGCTTTCTTGTTTCTTTTTTTGGTCTCTTTGATCTGTTTGTGAGCCAAGAATTCCTTCCACCTCCTTTTCACAAATGACTGAACCTAAACCCCTCACTGGATGAACAGTCATTGGCAGCAGTACATGCATATTATGATAACTCCTTGCAGCTTACTTTCACATGTGGTTTGTGATTAGCAAATTGTCATCAGAAGAGCTGGAAAACTTTGGAAGACTGAAAGCTTTGCATGTCTGACCTCTGACCAGAATCAGCCTCCACGTAAAATTGGAGTTTCTAGTAGGATTTTTGAACGTGTTTATTTAGACTGTGTGTTTAGCCAAAAGCCTTCTGTAATGTAACTGTTCTAGGATTAACCTGTGCTATTGCTACCCTTGCTTAATGATTCAGAAACTCTCCCTGCCTAAGCCTCCTGATGCATGCAGTCTGGTGGACACCATCCTGAGCACATGTCACATCTGACAGATTAGGAAAAACAGACTGTGTGGCGTGCAACTACAAGTTGACAACAGCATTTGTGTTGTATGCAGTGCTCTAGAGGTCAGCACAGTTACTTGACATTGAAGGATAAAATAATTTGACTGTTTCTTGAGAAACAGAGACATGCAGAGCATAAAGTTACAGACACCTCCCAGATTTTTCCTCATGGAAAAGATCACTTTTTCATGTCTTTATAAAACAGTTCATAATCTTGCACCTTTTGCAGTCTTGTCATTACTGATCCATTTGTCTCTGTGCACAAGAGAGCTTCTGGCTAAAATTTCTTTCCTGTATATTGTGGTCTGAGAATGTGTCTACTCTTGACAGGAACACTTCCACTGGTACATCTGTCTGTTCTTTTAGGTTTACCTTCCTTAATCCCAAAGCAGTGGCACCATTCCTTCAAAGCAATGTGTTTGTCTTGGTCTCCATCACATTCTTGGAAGAAACGGGTTATGCAGTGTTCCATGGGAACAAGAGAGACTCTCAAAGGTGCAAGTTCTGAGCGTGTTAATAATCTGAAAGAAAGAGCAGGTATGTAAAGCTGTAGTTCATTGTTAAATCATCAGGATCATCAAAGATGATCTAAGCTGCCAGAAGATGACAACGGTGGCTTCGACAGAGATGCCCCAGTGGATTCTGTTGTGGTGCTTCTGTAGTGACTCTGTCCCAGGACACTAGGAAGATGTATAATACCTAACAAACTAATAAGTTTTAACTGCTATTTGTTAATGAACATTTTTTTCCAGAACAAGTATTACTGTGACTTGTTCACAACTCATCAGTTGTCATTTTGCCATTAATCTTTGGGCCACTAAGTTTGCAAAGGTGTTTAGCTGTGTTCTAAGGCAGTAGATATAATCAGCATGAGGTATTGAGGATCTGCAGCCTTGAAACATGGATCCCACCACCGAAAGTCATGACCAAAAGCCTGAAATCTGAGTCATGTTCTCAGAAGTAAGCTAGAGGCTTCTTTTGAACTGTGATACTGCTGCTCTCTTACCATATCTGCTCTTTAAACTGAGAAACTTCTGTAGTATTAGTTGAAAACTATAGGTACCTCACTGGTGAATTATTGCTGACAGGCCTCTGCCCTTTGTACTTACCCTGTTGCTTTTAGCTTCAGTAACAACTGGATCTCATGAGCCTTGTTTTCTTCCAGAATCAGGGCATTAGTAGCTATTTAGATGCTGTAGTGCTTAAGGTGTAAAACATGATGATTATGAAAGGCAAGAGGATTACAGGCTCTGACTGAATACATGACTCCAGCAAAACAATGAGAGAAGTTCTGTGTTAGAGATGAATGTCCCCTTCGAAAGAGGGGGATACTGGTTTTTATCAGCTGAGGGACTGGTCCTGTATGTAGAGAATCCTTCAGGTGGTTTAGAGAAGTAAAACAGCCTGACCTTAAACAGCAAATTGGAACTGAACCTGCAAAGACTTTTTTTTTTTTACCTGTCAACAGGGTGCTGATCAAGCTGATGAAACTGCCAGTGCACAGGATACACATACATGTGATAATTTTTCTCAAAGTCGTGCAGGAGCAGCTCAACTGCATGGTCGCCAGCCATGAGGTGTTTGTCATTCTGGTAGATTTTTTTGACCTGAACACAACAGAGAAATTGATCATTTATTTTTGTTTAGGGTTGAAGATCTCTCCTGAAAAGAACTGTCTAGCAAGGAGGTGGTTTGGAGACATGTAACTCAATAAAATACCACTGGAGAAATGAGTTTTAGTGTTCATGATCATACACAGCAAGAAAAGCTTGCCTTAAGTAGTCCGGATTATTTTTGTTGCTGTCCACATCGACTTTGGTAGTATCTAGAAAGGAAGTGAAATTCCTGTGGCCTAATTGTCAAACTCAGGTAAGTGGGGCAGTAGCCTCACATTGATAGGAGATTAAACTGATTTTATCACATTTTATTGATCTTTTGTCCTTAGGCAAGCAATTCAGCTTTTGGAGTGAAATAAGCCATCTCAGAAATAAGCTACTTTGTACTATTTAATATGAGATGTCCTGGGTAGGTCAATGTCCCTCTGTGTAACTGTGTAAGTAGGCTTTGGTGTTGCTCAATCATATTTTGTATAAATATGCTGTGACCTACTGCATGCACCTCCTACTCCAGAGTTAGAGCAGGCCAGGGCCTGGTTTGACTTAAACTGTTTTCCTGCAGCTATGGCTTTCTAGGCAGTTATGGCATCTATATCTTCAAAACAAGCTGGAACACAGGAGGTTCCACTTAAATTTGAGAAGAAACTTCTTCTCAGTGAGGGTGACAGAGCACTGGAACAGGCTGCCCAGAGAGGTTGTGGAGTCTCCTTCTCTGGAGACATTCAAAACCCGCCTGGACGCCTTCCTGTGCAACCTCATCTAGGTGTTTCTGCTCCAGCAGGGGGATTGGACTAGATGATCTTTTGAGGTCCCTTCCAATCCCTAACGTTCTGTGATTCTGTGAAAACCAAACTGCTGTCCCCAATTCACTTGACATAAATCCTTCTTTAAAAAAAACCAAAAGGCTCAATGGTAATAGATGCTTACTTCATTTTAAGACTAAGTAGTGTGATGCTGCAGGTCTACTGAATGGTAAAAAGCAGCTCTTCTTTCTTAAAAACTGAGCATCAGAGTTGTGTAGTTTTATAGCCCTTTATTATCATGGTGTAGATGGAAAGTGTATGCAGCTGAATTAAAAAGTGCAAATGATACCCTTAACTGCTGAGTCCATTTTCTAGTACAAATTGTGCCCCAAGAACAGGAGGTGCTACTTTAGGTTGGTCCAAGGCAGGGATTCCCTGTCCCTATGAGGGTCCTCTAAACTCCCTATTGTAATTCTTTCTCAAATCCTGGTGTGTGACTGCCCAGTTGCTCAGTCTTACGAGGTCCTTGAACAGTTCTCTTCACAGTGTGGCCAAGTTTGTCCTTCCTTCCTTTGAATACCTGAGCGCTGTCAGTAGACATTGTCACCTACCTTCCTCTTCCAGGTCAGTCAATGATAGCTGAATGGCACAAGTCTTTTCAACCTGTGGGACTCCCCAGGTGAGAGCTTTTGGCTAGCTGTTGGTTCTTATTTTGTTTTTTAATTAGTTACCCATACTCAGACCTTCCATCATGGCTGCTTAGTTTCCTTAAGTCCTTTGGAAAATGGCATTGACTGTATGAATTGGGTCATCCCTATCTACATGTTAGCTGATCTTTCCAAGAGCTTTGTCATAAAGCACTTCCCTGAACAGAAGCTGTTTTGTGTCTTTTCAAGTGAAGAATGTTTATCTAGGTGTGCACTAATTCTGACTTTTCTGCCTCTTGTCTGTAGACACTGACTTCAAAGTAATTCACTTGGCTTGCATTTGCTTGGACAAAAGGAACATTCATAGCACAAATCTCTCATCTTAAATGAGTATGAGGGGACATGTAAATGTATTTTGCAACTTGTGATTCTAGTTGAGTCTAAATTGCCTTAACCAGGAAGGGAATCGTGAATCACTTGTTTTGCATGGTTTGTCCAGCTCTAACAACGGAACTGCATGATTCTATTTGAAAAGGATTGCTGACCTTACTCCTTTGCTTTTCAGTTAGAAATCCAGAAGTATGCAGATCACGTTCATAATATTGCATAAGAATGTTTTTAAGCCAGTCTCTCATCCGGAGTGGAAACTGATCTGCTTCGTAATCAGTACAGTGGGGGATGTCTGTGCCAAACAAGAAAGCTTTTGTTAGTAAGTGATCTGTTAAATCTCCATTTGAGCATTTCTGAGCCAAGTCTGATTTGATTCTCACTAGCAAACTTCCAGTTCAGCTTAAAATGGATGAAGTTGTTAATACATAAAATAGGGAATGCAACTAATGGGTTCAATTATAAATCTACAATTCTTTGGTGCACATGTTTAACCAGTTGTGCAAGCCACACTGTTTATACACCTGGGCAGCTTCTGAGCAGAGTTGTGCAGTGAAGCTGCTATCAGTCAGTTGCTTGAAAGCAGAGTTCTCGACAGCAAAGGAATATTCTGGCTGAGAGCAAGTGTACTTTTCTCTTAGGGTATGCAGCAGTTGAAGAGTTTGGAAATCAGTTCCGGCTTTTAGATCCTAACTTCTGGATTCGGCATCTAAGTAGAGGTTGCTTTGTTTTTCTTTTTTTTTGGACCTCACATTCTCATTTATTTACTGGCTGTAAATACTGGTTTTCTGGTGAAAGTATTAAAAAAACATCTTCAGATGCTGTAGGAATGGGAGCATGTAAGACAGTGTAGGGGCAAGACAGGGTTGAAAACAAATTGGTGTAAGCACAGGAGGGATGTCTTTAGGATTCAGATGCTTAATACCATTAATTATAGAAAAAGTTACTTTTTAGACATGTTTAGGGTTTTAAGGTCTTAACTAGCTGATAGTTGATGCAGAAGGTGGAGAGCACAGAAAGAAAGTGGATAACTTAGGGCTAGCTGGTGGTTAATGCTACTGGCCCTTCATACCTAGGTGATGTTTTCATATTAAAACAAGCCTTACATTTGCAGGAGCCCATATAGTCTAGGTGCAGCTGGCGTCCCATTTTTGTCCCTTCAAGTTGACATTTGGTTCCAAAGAGTTGACATGTGCCATCGTAAGTCTTATTATCTGTACCACAAACCTAGAGGAGGAATGAAAAACAAAACCATCACTTCCCCACCACTGTGTAGAGAAAATTTCTGGTCACTCGATACTTTTATTGTCGTAATGCCTATTAACATATGGCTGTAGCTGTTGTGAATAGCCGCAGGGAATACACATGATCAGAAGTATTAAAAACTGTAGTTATATGCCTACATAAGCATTAGCTGGCTGTACTTGCACACCCAGTTTCGAGACACTTGAATTTATTTTTGCATGGTAGTAATATAGTTACTGAGATGGCACAGGATTATTACACTAGATATGTACAAGTATTCAGTATATGCTCTAAACCATTAAATGCATAAATAGTACTTTTAGTGGCAGGGAAAAGCTATGACCCCTGAGAGACTAAGTGAAGTAAATCACTTCAAGTACTTTGTAGTTACATGTGTTCATACTATTCTTAAGCTATAGTCAGTGAGTTTGGGTCGTTTATACTTACTTTTACAGTTGCTAGAATCACTCAGATCCACTTGCATGCTTTTTAGGGTAGAATTATTCTAAGTAATAGCAGGGGAATGTGTTATCTTGTAAACATTTTAGTTCGTTTTCTTCTGTGCTGTGAACTGAATGAAATACTTACACGCTCGTAGTCTTTGGTGGAAGGGCAAGCAGCAGGATCTTGGCAAATACAGCTGGGTTTCCCTTGTTTGTCCACATGGCAGACTTTACCTCTTTTGCAGTGGAAGTTCCTACATGGGTCTACTGATCATAGCAAGAAGGAGGGACTGTTAGAGGGATGGGACAAAGTCAAGTGTTTCTGTCAGGTACTACCAACAGTCAAAGCAAAATATAGCTCAACATTCACCAAGAGGTCAAGTGCTTTTTGTAAGTTTATTAAAATGCATCTGGATCTTGTACTGAAAAAAGACAAACTTTAAATTAGGATTTTTGTGAGGCTTCTAGCAGCCTCAGGTTTGAGTTAGATGGGGAAATAAATTTCTCAGAAAAAGCTGTTTCTTCTATAAGGGCTGACATTCATTTCCAGTTTCCTTTAATGAAACGCATCCCATCTGTCCTTGCTAAATCCAGCACTGGCACTCATCCCGTTTCTAGTTGAATTGAAGCTACTGTTCTGAAACAGAACGATTTCAATGCAAGATAATTCCCATTCCTGTATAACTGACACAAAAACTTATGCACTATCTAGAAATGTTTTTCCCAAACAAATTAGTAAATCCGGGGTGTATGGAAAGGATTGTCTGGGAATGTAACTGCAGTGCAGGATTATGCACAAACACAGTTCAGTCATGTGAAATCATGTGCTGCTAAAGGCAGAAAAGAAATGCAGACCAGCAGATTCCCCAGCGGCAGAGAGTTAGTAGTTACATGATGACTTTGCCTTGTGGCTTACCCAGGAGAGCCTTCTCACTCCTGTTGCTTGCACTTTCTGTCTCACCATAGGAACTGCCTGTAGTCTGAACCTGTGAAGTCAGAGACATAAGCAGAAGTTGTGGTGAATCTCGGGAAGAAGAAATTCTTGACAATTTTTTTTTTTTCCAGGTAAAACTATTACGCTGAGTTTGCTTTGTTTGTAGCAGAAAGAGGTTGCTATGCAAAATGCGTAAGAAGTGCTATGGTAGTATTAAAGCACTCTGTTATTTGGAGAAAAAATAGGATGTGGCAAGAGAAAAACTGTAACCCAGTAAGGCCTGCACAACTAGTAGTTCTGCAGTACTTGACGTAGAGCCGCATAGTGCCTCAAGGTTGACAGAACTGGTGTGTCAAGTCTTAGTTTGCACTGGGGCTCTTCAGGTTCAGTGAGCATGAACTGCCTCTTACTAGTGCCTTGGGGCATTAGCACCATGAGCTGCCAGGCCAGAAATAAATGAAGCAAAAGGAGAAGGGAAGGATGCATCTTTAGCTGTGGGGAGGTGCCTGTCCTCTTTCAAATGGATGCCTTCTATAATTTTTTTAATATTCACAGAATTAATGTTGGAAGAGACTGCTAAGATCATCAAGTCCAACCGTCAACCTGACACCACCATGCCACTAAACCACGTCCTAAAGTGCCACATCCATACGCTTCTTGAACAACTCCACCACCTTCCTGGGCAGCCCGTTCCAGTGCTTGATCATCCTTTCAGTAAAGAAATTTCTCCTAATATCCAATCTAAACCTCTTCTGGTGAAACTTGAGGTCAATTCCTGTTGTCCTGTCAGTGGTTACATGGAAGAAGAGGCCAACACCCACCTCTCTACTACTTCCTTTCACATAGCTGTAGATGGTGATAAAGTCTCCACTCAGCCTTCTCCAAACTGAACAATTCTAAGTCCCTCAGCTGCTCCTCATAAGATTTGTGCTCTAGACCCTTCACCAACTTTGCTGCCCTTCTCTAGACATGCTCCAGCATCTCAATGCCCTTGTAGCGAGGGGTATAAACTGAACACAGTATTTGAGGTGTGGCCTCACCAGGGCTGCGTACAGGGTCGGTACGAGTACAGAAAGATCACTTCCCTGCTTCTGTTGGCCACGCTATTTCTGATACAAGCCAGGATGCTGTTGGCCTTCTAGGCCACCTGCACACACTGCTGGCTCATGTTCAGATGGCTGTCAAATGACCCCCAGGTCATTTTCTGCCTGGCAGCTCTCCAGCCAATCATCCTCAAGCCTGTAGAGCTGCATGGGGTTGTTGTGACCCAAGTGCAGGGCCTGGCTCTTGGCCTTGTTAAACCTCATACAGTTGACCTCAACCCATTGATCCAGCCTATCAAGGTCCCTCTTGCAGAGCCTTCCTACCCTTGAGCAGATCAACGCTCCCACTCAGTTTGGTGTTGTCTGCAAATTTACTGAGGGAGCACTCAATCCCCTCATCCAGATCACTGATAAAGATGTTAAACAGAAGTGGCCCCAGTACTGAGCCCTGGGGAACACCACTTGTGACTGGCAGCCAACTGGATTTAGCTCCAATTCACCATAACTATTTGGGCCTGGCCATCCAGCCAGTTTTTA